GGTTTTAACAGAACTTATACGGGTGTCATAGCCCAGTGTTTGGTCAAATATGGACAATAAGAATTTCGCACAAAGAAATGCTGTGTTTGTCTATATTTGACCCAACATTGGATTTCTGACAACCCAGCATTTCTTTGTGTCAAATTTTTATCTTTTAAATTAAAGTAATTTTTCAATAAAATTTAAATGACACCTTTTTTAACCCAACTTTTGTTTTTTAACAGAACTTATTAGGGTATCATAGCTCGGTGAAGGATCAAATATGGACAATAAGAATTTGACAAAGAAATGCTGGGTTGTCTTAACCTATTGTTGGGTTTGTCTATATTTGACCCAACATTGGGTTATGACAACCCAGCATTTCTTTGTGTCAAATTTTTATTTTTAAAATTAATTAAAGTAATTTTTCAATGAAGTTTAAATGACATTTTTTACCCAACTTTTGATTTTTAACAAAACTTATAAGGTTATCATACTCTGGTGTTGGATCGAATATGGACAAACCCCATTTAGGGGTAATTTTTTTTATTAAATGCAATTTACACTTTGTCCATATTTGACCCAGTATAGGGTTGCAACAATCCAGCATTTTTAGAGTGCAAGTTGGCAGCTTTAAAAATTGTTGTCGTGTTCCAATATTGGGTCAAATATGGACAAACCCAACTTAGGGTTAATTTGTTTCAGTTTCATTTTAATGACACTTTTTAAACCAGTGGTTAGGTGTGTCCATATTTGACTTAACATTGGGTTACAACAACCCTACATTTTTAAACCTGCCATTTTTTTCCAAAAATCTTATGTTAATAATGTTGCACTATTTTTTACATTTAACTTAAAATACACTTTCTAACCCTAAATTGGGTTTGTCCATATTTGACTTAAGGTTGGGTTACAACAACCGTCTTTTTTTTAGAGTGTAAGCTGGCAGCTTTAAAATCAATGGGTTGTCATATTCCAACATTTGATCAAATATGGTCAAACCCAAAGTAGGGTTAATTTCTTTTCTGATAAATTTAAATGACACGTCAACCCAGCAGTTGGGTTTGTAGATATTTGATTCCAACATTGGGTTACAACACAACTCAAAACATTTTTTTTCAGAGTGCAAGCTGAGAGCTTAAACAAATGCTGGGTTGTCATAGTCCAAATCCAACACAAACATTTTAAAAATAAAATTTAAATGGCACTTTTTTTAAACCCAAAGCTTGGGTTTGTACCATTGCAACATTGGGTTACAACAAACTAAATTTTTTAAACCTGCCAACTTGGCAAAAAATGCTAGATTATTGTTGCATTTATTGTTTACATTAAATTTAAATGGCAATACATTTTTTAGTTTTAGCCTAACTTATAAGTTAGAAGTTTAAAAAGTGCTGGGTTGTCATAGCCCATAGTTGGGTCACAAAATACAAAAATCCAGCTTTTTAAGAGTGCAAGCTGGCAGCTGTAAAAAAGCTGGGTTTTCGTATCTCAGTGTTGGGTCAAATATTGACAAAACCCAGCATGGGATAACATTTTTTTTCAACTAAAATTAAATGACACTTTTTTAACCCAATGGTTGGGTTTATCCATATTTGACCCACCATGCACACACATTAAAAAAGTACCTAAAACAGTTATGAATAGCTATCAATCATGTTTACATTCATGTCGACTTGCTGATCTCTAACACTATCTACTGTGGACTGTATTTCTCTGTAAGCTAGAACTATACAGCTGTAATCTCTGTGAGAAATACACCACCATTACAGTCTATTTCTCTGTAAGCTATTCGTTTCTGCAGTCAGACTTGTAAATGAGCACTTTTAACAGTGTTTTCTCCTGTCGTCGGTCATTCGGGAGCTCTGAGGAGTGACTGAACAATGCAGTTGTTGTCTGGCCATGAATTATTCATCGGCGTGGCGTTGCTAGGATTGTATCAGCGGCTCTGGCCGGTGCTTCGGCCTTCTCAAACATGACAGCTGCGGCCAAACGGTGTTGGGTTCTCCCTCCGCCTGGACTCAAGTGCCTTCAGGGATATTTGCTTAATTAAAAAGCACATATTATCAGGGGATCCTCCTTCTCCACACCCTCACGCTCACATTCACAACCCAACAGAGGAGCAAAGATCCTGCACATTCAGGAACGGGAGTTTTTATTTGCATGAATGTATTTTTATGCTGTCGTCCGTCTCGGAAGGAAGTGTTTTTTGTGCTCTGGATGGTGTTTGCATGCACACACACACTTGTTGATGAAGCGTGTGTGGATGTGTGTGTCTGGATTTCTGTCGTTTGCATGGATTATAGTTTGATGTGGTGAGGATGTACAAGCGTCGGGATTATGTGGATCTCTATGAGAAGGATCAGGCCAAGTGGGCTTTACTGAGAAATGTCAACACTGTGTTTAAACACTCAACACTCCTACCGGTACGATGTGTGTGTGTGTGTGTGTACCTTGTATTCCTCATGTTGTGGGGACGAAATGTATCCACAAGTATAGCAGTACCAGTAGATTTTGACCTTGTGGGGACTTCTTTTGGTGTCCATGATGAAAAAGGCTCATAAATCTCACAGAATGAAGTACTTTGAAACATGTTTCAAATGTTTCATATGTTGCAGATTGTTTCCTGTAAGATTTGGGTTTAGGGGAAAGAGGAGAGAATATACAGTTTGTACAGTAAAAAAAGTCTAACACGTCCTTATAAAGATAGCTGTACAAGTGTGTGTGTGAGACTATAGTCGCATTTACACTTATAAACACTTTTAAAATAAGTACTATAAGACTAATTAAATCAACAACAGAACAGAAATATGTAAATATGACACTTCCTAGTAAATCTATACACTGTATGACAACTATGTTATCATTTACTCATCCACAAGTTGTTTCAAAACTATCTTGGGTTTCTTTCTTCTGTCGAATGCAAAAGATGTTGCTCTGAAGAAAGGGGAAAGCTAAACAGTTTAGAGTCACCATTGACTTCCATATTATGGGAGTCTTCATATTTGCATTACCTATATCTTTAAGTACCAATAAGTATTTTTGGTCCATTTATATTTTAAGTAATTAGTATTTTATTAGATTTTTAGTGCTTCAAATTAAATCTATTTTTAAAATCGCCATCTAGTTGCTTTATTAAAATTTAGTTAAAGTTTTTTTGTGCATCGTTTTGAAGTCATTATAAAAAAAAAAGCATCTGTTTTGAATTGGTTTTCATTATAAGATTATGATTCGTTAAAGAACTGATATAACTGATTCAAGTAGGACTGAACAATTACTACTATAAAACATTCATGGATGACTAATAGTAAACGCTGCTGAGGAGAGGTGTGCTGTGTTATTAGGTGATGATCAGATCTGCAGGTTTGTGTTACATCATGCACTGATGATGTCACAGCGATGATGTCAGACTAGTTTGCAATTAATGTGCTCTGTGATTCTGGGTTATAATCATCTAGTAACTAAAACATATGCTGGAATAGTTGGTGGTTCATACCACTGTGGCGACCCCTGATAAATAAAAGGGACTTCACTGAAGGAAAATGAATGAATGGATGAATTGATCTCAGATAACTGCTAACCATTTACTCTCCCTGGAGTGGTTATAAACCTTTATGAGTTTCTTTCTTCTGTTGTATTTTTAAAATAATATTAACATATAGACACTATTTAACCTATATAAAGACTTATAAATTTGGCTTTTTTTCCCCCAATTTTGATTTTAATGCATAACTCAGAGGTTCTCAAAGTGGGGGTCGGGACCCCCCGAGGGGTCGCGGGACAATGAAGGGGGGGTCGCCTGGTGATTTTCAAAAATCAATTAATTTTTATTAAACCTTAAGACTTACTGTATTTTATCAATAACCTACTGAAGAGAAAAAATAGTTGTTTATAGTTACTATAAACTATATGGTTTCTATAGTAGCTTATAGTTAATAGTTTTATTGGATTGCGACTTCTTGGGTAATTACATTATACTAAAGACACAGCAATACTGTCAGATGCAGCAGATTGATTTTATAACACCAGGTTAAACTTTCTAGCCCATTTACAGCACTGACATACATAAAAAAACATAGAATAGACTTGGGTCTATTGGTGTGTGTGCGCGTCATTGCATACAAGGTTTCTGTATTTATAACCACCACCTCAGAGAATATTGGGGGTCACGAGTCACTGGCATTGTCATTTTGGGGGTCGCGGGCTGAAAAGTTTGGGAACCCCTGTGTTATTAGGTGATGATCAGGCCTGCAGGTTTGTGTTACATCATGCACTGATGATGTCACAGCGATGATGTCAGACTAATTTACAAATAATGTGCTCTGTGATGCAGCGTTATTATAATCAACTAACTAAAAAAAAAAGTGGACAGAAAAAAAAGTATTTTATGTGGATCTCTATGAGAAGGATCAGGCCAAGTGGGCTTTACTGAGAAATGTCAACACTGTGTTTAAACACTCAACACTCCTACCTGTACGATGTGTGTGTGTGTGTGTGTGTGTGTGTGTGTGTGTGTGTGTGTGTGTGTGTGTGTGTGTGTGTGTGTACCTTGTATTCCTCATGTTGTGGGGACGAAATGTATCCACAAGTATAGCAGTACCAGTAGATTTTGACCTTGTGGGGACTTCTTTTGGTATCCATGATGAAAAGGGCTCATAAATCACACAGAATGAAGTACTTTGAAACATGTTTCAAATGTTTCATATGTTGCAGATTGTTTCCTGTAAGATTTGGGTTTAGGGGAAAGAGGAGAGAATATACAGTTTGTACAGTAAATAATTATAATCAACTCACTAAAAAAAAAGTGGACAGAAAAAAAAGTATTTAGAATTGCTTATATTGCAAAAATGCTTAGATATCCATCCATAAATGTGTTGAATTATTTGATTATCCATTCTATTTTATTCTAAGGAATATATTTGTTTATTTATTTTTTTTTTTACATTTTTAAAATAACGCTTAGTGATGTCTGATAATGTGATGGCTGCACTGACATTAACAATGTCTGCACTGTGTTTCAGGGGGATTATGTCTGGCTGGACCTGAAGACGGGTCATGAGTTTGAGGTCCCGATCGGAGCTGTGGTGAAGCTCTGTGATTCTGGACAGATTCAAGTTCTGGATGATGAAGGAAATGTAAGTTAATGGCCACTGAACGCTGCTTTTTTCATATATGCACAACATTTATGTCAGTACTGGGATGTGTTTTTTCTCCTCGCTTAAATGATGTAAGATGATTGGGCAGATCCTGGATCTGTTAATCCTAATAACTCATCTCTCACTAATCTGGTTCTTCAAATAAGTTTGCAAATCAAATTAAAATATCTGGATGAATTGAAGGTGGCACAGTGGCTCAGTGGTTAGCATTGTCGCCTTACAGCAAGAAGGTTGCTGGTTCGAGTCCTGGCTGGGTCAGTTGTCATTTCTGTGTTTGGATGTTCCCCCCGTGTTGGTGTGGGTTTCCTCCGGGTGCTCCGGTTTCCCCCACAATCCAAACACATGCGCTATAGGGGAATTGAATAAATTGGTCGTAGTGTATATGTGTGTGTATGAATGTGAGAGTGTATGGGTGTTTCCCATTTCTGGGTTGCAGCTGGAAGGGCATCTGCTGTGTAAAACATATGCTGGAATAGTTGGTGGTTCATTCCGCTGTGGCAACTCCTGATAAATAAGGGAGTAATCCGAAGGAAAATGGATGATTTGGCCCAAGATAACTGTGTGGTTACCATTTACTCTCCCTGCAGTGGCTATAAACCTTTATGAGTTTCTTTCTTCTGTTAAACACAAAAGGTGATATTTTGAAGAATGCTGAAAACCTGTAACCAACTCCCCATCCCCCCCCCCCCATCTAAAGTCATGATCACCAATGCAGCAATTGGCTGACTGAGTAATGACATCATCTGCTTAATATTAATATCAGCCATGTGACAAACTAACATAAATTTCGTAGTAAATGAAATGGTTTGTTAAAGGATACGCAATATCTTTCCACACTTTTTGTTGACTATTTTTACAGGCTTTACACTTTGTGTCAAGAGTATATTATTAACTAGTTGAGGAGTAGATGCTTAGGTTAATTTAGCTAAACTTATGATGAAAGCTTTTATAAAAGCTCTAATAAAATTCAGTGGTAACACTTTACAATAAGGTTCATTAGTTAATGCATGAACAACACTTGTACAGCATTTATTAATCATAATTGAACATTTACTGATGCATTATTAACATCCAAGTCCATGCTTGTTAACATTAGTTAATGCACCATGAGTTAACATGAACTAACAATGAACTACTGTATTTTCATTAACTAATATTGACTAACATGAACAAATACAGTAGTAAATGTATTGTTCATTGTTTGTTCATGTTAGTAAATGCATTAATTAACATTAATAATGAACCTTATTGTAAAGTGTGACCAATTCAGTTGTATTTTTTCCACATAGTGACTGTAATAAATCTTGCTCAGTGTTGATTTTAATGCATTAACTAACATTTACTAATGCGATTTATCATTTAGCGTCTATTTGCAATTGAATTTGATTAAACTATTTGTTTACTGTAAACATGTGTATACAATAAATCACTAAGCACTAACTATATTTTGTTATATCTGTTAAATAACCCTTTTTTTGATCTTATGGTAATAAAAACTTCAGCAATTAATCACAACAAGAGTTTTTTTTACTGGCAAAAAGCCAACTCTTGGATTACTTTTGAAGAATGAATCTTCTCTGGATCGTGTCAGATCAATAATTTAGCTAATTTTGCATCCACCCTTTTTATTTGCATTTTGGAATATTATATAAAAAATGATTAATGAAGATACACATAAATTAAATATGCATGAAAACGTATGCCTTATTCCAATTTTGTGCTTAAGTATAATTCACATGCTTGGATGGAAACATTGCAAATATTCAAATCCAGCTAACTGAGTAATCCACACACAAAGAACGAACCATGAGTTATTATGAGGATTTTTTTTATGGTGTTTTGTAGGGATGTAACGGTATCAGAATTTTCACGGTACGGTAATACCTCGGTATGAATGGCATGGAACGGTATTTATTGAATCATTTACAGGAAAAACAAAACTAATGAAAATACTCTAAAAAAGTGCCAAAAGTGTTTATTTACCTTAGCACTGAACATATCAATGACATACAAATTAGCCATCTATCTGTAAGTTTCAAAACAGGAACTTCAATTTATCAATTTTAATAACAAAAAATTATTAAACCATATAAAAAAAATAAAGTTTCAACTTAGTATTGTTGAAAACTCATCACATTCAACATTTAATCACTCACTCACTTAGATAGAGATGGGTTTTTTAGGGAAAATGATCATATAACTATAATCTGGTAAAAGCTGGGATCTCTGGGCATGTCCCCTGCAACAGAAAAAAAAAACCTCTCATTTGGGACTGAGGTTTCTGGGACAGAGAGATATGATTTAGCCAAGGTTGACAGCAGTGGGTAACGTTGTGCATTGTCTTTCCACCACTTGAGAGGACAAGCCATGAGTGAGATAGAGATCTCTTTGCGGTACAAGTCAATGTCTGCATCAATCTAACAAGTGTGCTGCAGTCCCCATGACTGTTTTTAGTCGTATTCCCCGACTTATATTTCACCACAGTCTGGCAGTGCCTGCATACAGTTTTTTTCTTTGTCTGTAATCTTTTCTCCTTTTTCGTATCTTTTTAGAAAGAAACCGAAATGCTTCCACACATCAGATTTAAAACACG